AAGTGACTCAGAGGTTAAAGTCCAGCTTTTATCGTAAGCAGGTCCGAGGGTGTGCTGAATTACAGCCTTTTTTTATGACAGTGAATGAAAGAATATGTTACCATCCAAATACATGAAGACCGCAAAATGTTCAGGAATTTCTCATATGTAATGTATTCACACATCTCTTAATACTTTTGTCCATTTGTTTTCTACATTCAGTTCTTTTTTAAAGCCTCTTACATTCTGGGAGATACTCCAGAATACAAAGTGACAGGTTATACTAACAAATCTGATAAATAGATAAACACGCACAACATGGGAGTTACTGTAAATCATAACCTTTCACACTTATTTCTACAAATATTGTGGTCCCTTGCTTGATTCCTGGGCTAACCACTTTAACTAAGTTGGATGAGGGCAATATGCATAACAAATAGACACTGTGTTTTGTAGCATGGTGAAAACAAGACTAAAATCCCTGCCAGTGGCACCTAGCAACTGTCTATTTAGTAGTGCAACAAAATTACAACAGGGCTTATCTAATTATTTTCTCATTTGTTCGTTCTTCCCCTTATCATGTCTTTGTGAGTTTTCTTTTCTCATAAACAGCAAAGACTTGTTGTAATTTTCTGACTTCTGTTGAGGTTCCACTGCTCATATTGGTGTGGTATTTTCAGTTTTGCTGAATGGTGCACTCATTGGGATTGTCCACTAGGTGGAGAAAGTGCATTCTGTGTGTCTCTGTCCCACTACTACTTTGGTGAAAAGGCTGGATGGTCCATCATAGGGTTTCCAAGCAGTCAATTTATTGGTGGTGTTGAAAACATGATGTGGTAAAATGGATTAAGTTTCATTTATACTGATCAGCCACAGCATTAAAACCCTCCCTTGTGTTACCAAAACAATTCTGACTGGTGGAGGCAAGGACCCCACCAGACTTCTGAAGGTGTCCTCTGGTAACAGGCACCAAGACGTCAGCAGCAGATCTGTTAAATCCTGCGAGGTGAGTCCTCCATGGATTGGACTTGTTTTTCCAGCACATCCCACAGATGTTCAATTGGACTGAGAAATAGGGAATCTGGAAGCCAAGGCAACATGTTGAACTCTTTGCTATGTTTTTCAAATCACTCTTTAACAGTTTTTGCAGTGTGGCAGGGCACATTATCCTGTTGACAGAGGCCACTGCCATTAGAGAATACTGTTGCCATGGAGGCAGAGTCTGGACTGGATAATGAGATAATGCATGACAGAAACAAAGCAGAGGCAAAACAGAAACAGGAAAAATCTGGCAACAACTGCTGAGCTGACTGCAGGCTAAAGGGACATACTGTAGGATAAATCCCAGTTCCCTTAATTGTATCTATGTTTCCCTCACTTGTATTTTTTTCCTTTTGTCTTAGTCCTGCTCACATAAAATGCAGGGAAACGATGCAAGTAATACATGTTAGGAAGGAAGAATGAAGGAAACACATTCATACAGACATACATAAGATGCCCTTTCCTGTAATGCTTCATGTGAAGTGTCCAGTCAACATTTGATTTTCAATAATGGAGTGTGTTGGTCCATAAAGCCCTTCACCAATATGATATGGCTAACATCCCATTGGTCTGGTGCTTGTGTTCTCTTGAGCAATTGAAGTCCAATATTCACTCTTCATTTAGCTCTTGTTTAGCACTGAGAAAAACATCTGGCTCTTCAGCTTCTGCATGTTCCACTTTCTTTACTGTGTCTGTGCTGAGCCGGTTTATAGCTCATATAAACTGAGTGTGGTGATTCTGTTAGATTCTAACCTCTTTGTCAGAAATCAACCCAATTCTTTAGTTGGAGCACGAGAAGTGACGACAGGAGAGGACTGTTTAAAATCAACAGAAAGTTTACTGAAAGTCTGGTTACAAGAAAGTCTCACAGCGCTGGATTCAGAGAGATAGAGCTCCCGCAGGAATTCCAACTTCTGAACCCCGAGTCATGATTTCACAATACATTTATGCATTTTGGGCTGCTCCGCCCTGGACAGAAGTACCACGAAACCAGGTGTGTTGTCATGTGATTTTCCAGGCGGCAGCAGAACAATGGGTCCT